TATATATATATATATATACACACACACACATATATGTATATATGGAGTTGAACTCTGTGACTTATTAGCCAACCTGGAGAAGTATCCGTCTGGTACTTGGTATGGGTTAGTATAATGATGTACTGGAACGTGGCCTGTTGTTTGTGTTTGTGTTGATCAGCTGGCCACCATGATAGAGTGGGGAGAAACCTTCGTCTTCCATGTCATGTCCCGGGAGTTCCAGCTGGAGCAGCCCAAGGCCACCGTCACCTGCCAGCATGGGGTGGACCGCCGCACCTGTGACGCCAAGGTACTAAGTGTTGTCCAAGTACTCGTCTGACTGTTGTCCAAGTACTCGTCTGACTGTTGTCCAAGTACTCGACTGTCTGTTGTCCAAGTAGCCGTCTGACTGTTGTCCAAGTACTCGACTGACTGTTGTCCAAGTACAGAGGTCGGACTGACGTCCTGTGACAGTTTCTAACCCTGGAACGTGGTTGTGTCTCAGTTGACTTGCCTTCCCGGCCACTGTCGGACGTCAGAGGAGCTGAAGTACACCATGACTCGTTTGGCCGTGGACGCCGTTGACCTCTTCATAGTTGAGCATGGCTGTGCTGCCAGCATCAAAGTAAAACAAAGATTCTCTTTTCTGTGTATCGGCCCGTAGACTTTAGCTTTGTCAGCTGTTTATTCGACATCTTTTTAAATTCTTCTTCACAGACGGGTGTCGTTCGCGTAGCCAACTGTAACCTGCACAGCCAGGCGGTGGGGGAGGGCATCAGTGCCGTGGTGCAGGACGTGAACGTCAGACAGTACATTGAACAGCAGCAGCACGGCGAGTCGACCAGGACGCAAAGTCAGGCTGGGGGTCAGCCCGCTCCACTGCGACGGTCCGTCTGGCTGGAAGCGGGCTCGGTCAACCTGAACCTCATCACGGCTGATGTCGCTCTGGCGGCCGACCATCCGGCCAAGTGTGAAGTGCAGAGGCATTTTCTGGAACTTCATGACGCTCAGAGCAAGAGGTAAACCAGAGACTCTCCTCTCCATCTGTGGGACCAGGGAGGTGGACCAGGGAGGTGGACCAGGGAGGTGGACCAGGGAGGTGGACCAGGGAGGTGGACCAGGGAGGTGGACCAGGGAGGGGGCTGCAACAGTCACACTGAGACAGTTGTTGATTGTCTAAACTTTTTACTTTCTAAACCAGGAGACTTTTCCCTCTTTGTCTTGACGTCTTAGATGTTTGTAAATGAAGAACCAAAGGCTTTTGGTTTAAGATCTTTTTCACTCTCTTGATTTTACATTTACAAAATGAAGGAACTGTGGAGAACAGTGGAGAACCTCAGTCAGATGTATTCATACACTGCTCTGTTCTCATGTCCTCAGACTCTGGTTTCTGTGGCCAGAAGAGCCCGGCCTCCGGAACAAGCGCAGCAGGAACCGCTGTGGCTGCCTTGGAGGCTGCAGGTTCTTCGGGGGAACCAATGTGGGTCTGGACTTCTTCAGACTAGAAGAGCTCACTCCATCCTCCTCATCTGCGTTCTCATCCTCCAGCTCAGAGTCAGACATGTGCTACGGCCAGAGCTTGTTACACCCTGGAGAGTGGATCATCACCAAAGAGACGCCCAAAGTGGATGGTGAGGTCCTGCTCTGACCCCTGCTGGTCAAGAATTACACTGCAGACATTATGAAGTTCCCAGGTCTAAATAATGAAGCCTTGATCTGTGATGTCTTCTGTCCACAAGCTCTTTCTTTTCATGTATATCTTCTTTGATGTTTTTCTTAGGGAGAGTTGTGGGGGTAAAAACAGAAACCCACTCGCCACGACTGCCCCCTGAGCTGCCTGAGAGGAGGGGGCAGCAACACCTTAGTCTCCAGGTGCCCCAGCGTTCTCACAGCTCTGCCTCCTCATCAGAAGAAAACAGTTCTTCCAGTGCTGCGCTGCCCCTGCTGGCTGGAGAGAGGGACAGCCCCTCACCAAGCACCGAGGAGCGTTTGATCCCAGTGAACAGTAAAAGTCCAGCAGAGTGAGTAACATGAAATATTTCACTGTAGTTTTCACCTCAGTGATGCCAGTGATGTTCAGTTTCTACACCTTTATTCCAGCACCCTGGGGGAGGTGCCCGAACTCTCCACCATCTCACCCAACAGCTCCCAGGACCGCTCCTCAGTGCGCTCCCCCCTCTGCTCCCCCCTGAAGCGTCAGTCCTCGGTGCACTCCAGTCGTCTGGGCAGCACCAAGAGCCTGTCAGCAGCCATGTTCACCGAGAAGCCCCCGCCCGTGTTGTCCGGAGGCGTCCAGTTCAGCAGCGAAGTTTCCCGCAGCGATGAGAACGTCCTGGACTCGCCGCATCAACGCAGGAGCTACGGTTCCTTCCCCTTCACCCCCTCGGCCGACTCCAACACCTTCCATCAGTACCGCTCCGCTGACTCCAGCATGTCCGTGGCCGACAGCGAGGCCTACTTCTCGGCCGCCGAGGACTTTGAGCCCATCAGTAGCGCCGATGAGGGTCCGGGGACGTATCCGGGCCGCAAGAAGAAGAGGCGGCAGCAGATTCAGCAACCTCAGCAGCTGCCGTACCACATGGAGAACTACAGGTGAGCCTGGAGCCAGGATTGGCTCAGGAGTTTTAACCCCTTCGTGTTGTAGCGGTTAGCACGCCTGCAGAGAGTCTGGCTTCGATTCCCAGAGGCACCACACGCTTGGTGCCTGCAGGTGGCAGCAGATCTGCTGTTAACACAATCATTTCCCAAATGTGGGATCAATTCAGTTCAAATTATTTTTATTATTATTATTATTATAAACCATGACAGAGAGGTGCAGTAATGATGTCATCAGTTGTTCGTGGTTCGGTGTTGGAGGTGTTAGGGTCTTCTGGTCTTCATTGTCGGTGTTTGTTATGAATTACATTTGACAGTTTTCAGTCATCGGTCATAAACTTTTTAACCATCAAACATCGAGTTCAATCAGTTTGGTCAAAATCACCAAGTGCTTTTAGAACGACAACAAGAACCTCCATAATAACCCCCGGTCGTCTGACCTTCAGCCGCAGCTCCATCTACCACAGCGTGGAGGGTCCACTCACCTACGTTCTGAATGGAGAGTTGATCACCGAGCCACGTCCCCTGCCGCTGCCCCCGACACTCCCCCCTCTGCCCTCACACCCTCTGCCCAGCCACACGTCACAGGCCTCCTTCGTCTCAGCCCTGGCCATGGAGGAGGAGAGCTCCATGGAGGTGGAGAAAACGGCCGAGCCTGGACCGGTGACACGACAGCCCCACGTCATGGCCTGCTACCACAACTATCTGGCTCAGTACCAGGTACAGTACCAGAGTGTTTAACCAGGGGTACACCTGGTATCTGCATGTGTACTTCATGTGCTGTTAATGTTTCTGCCTTGGCCAGGTCTCTAATTGGTCCGTTAAGCAGCCCACCAATAAGAGGACTTCTAAGTCTTCTCTTCACCGCCCCTTAGACCTGGACACGCCCACCAGTGAGGAGAGCTCTGCTTCCTTTGACCAGCTGTCTGTGCCCAGTTTTAAGGTGTGTAGTAATAGTGTGTGTGTGTGAGAGACGTTAGCTGTGAATGATGTCATCAGCGTCTGCCTCTACACCAGGTCATAAAGCCAGGCCTTTCAGCCAGTTCTCTATTGGACAGAGGGGGTCAGCTGATGGGAGACACTCACAGGTGTGGAAACTCCTCCGCCAAAATAAAATGCAGCCTTTATTTTGCAGCTGATTTTAATTAGCTATGCTGAATTTCCTCTGCTCCTCCCCCTCCCCCCCGTCCCCCCACAGCGCTCCATACACTCCCCTGGACAAGAGAGCCATGGACAACACGGATGAGGACACGACCACAGACGACTGGAGCCTGGAGCAGCCGTTAGCTCAGACCAGAACCACCGCCATAGTGGAAGTCAAGGGTGCCATCAACGTGGTGCTCACCCCCCTGGTGGCCGAATCCCTGGACAGGTAACGGTCACTGACCGGTCCTGACATCTCTACACCGCTCCAGTGACGCTGGCGTTTGTCCCGTTTGTGGTGTTGGACTCCAGCTGGGTGATGTCCGACCAGAACCGTAACATCTCTGTTCTCTGTTTTGGCTCTTTTCCCCAGGTACATTGAGTCCATGGTCCATTTTGCAAGTGTTCGACATCCAGCAACAATTCTGGACGATCTTCACGGAAAAGTCCTGAACGAAGCCTATCAGATCAGCAAGTCCACTGTTGCAGAATCTGTAGGTTTGAAAATGACCAGCACTGACTTTTTACTTGGTCTTTAGTTTCTGTTGACTGACTGTTGACTGACTGTTGACTGACTGTTGACTGACTGTTTCACTGTTTCTGTCCTGGCTGAACACAGAGCCAAACAGGAAAACAAGACCACAAGCTGTCCAGGACTGAGGGCACGACCCCCGGCTCCATCAGCATCTCCCAGGGACACACTGACCCGTCTGTCAAACCAGATAATGTGAAGATCAAGGGCCTTCAGGCCAACGTGTCCATCCCCAAGGTGAGACCCCGACCCTGAATCAGTCCGAGACCTCCAGGACTGACCGCACAATCATTGTGGTAGTGAATGAACAGAGGCTGAAGGTGTGAAACACAAACATTGTTGACAACAGTGTGTCATCAAACTACAGTCTCATACTGTGTCTCCAAGTCTCCAAGTCTCCAAGTCTCCTTGTTTCAGTTCTCTCTGCTCCTTCACTGTCACCAGGTTACTGCGTCAACTACATGACTTTTTATAAACACACCACTGGGTGGGGCTGTGGGTGAGAGTCGGGGTGAGAGTTGGGGTGAGGGTGAGGGTGGGGGTGGGGGGTAGGGTTGGGGTTAGGATGAGGGTTAGGGTTAGGGTTAGGTTAGGTTAGGGTTAGGGTTAGG